CATTATAACATTCTGCACTGCTGTCTGTATAGTGTCAGTGATGAAGCAGGAGCATCCTGGATAATTTGACAGCTGGAATTTCTAACACTTACAAACTGAATCTATTTGGATTATGTTCTTTTCACTATGGCATGTAACCAAAAACATGATCAGAGCATAATATTCACGTAGCTAGCCAAGTTTTAGACATTTATAGGCAGATTGAGTGTGTTGACCGTTGGTTTTGTAAAACTGGCTCCTTATCTGTTTAGCTTCCTTATTTAATATGAGCTTGAAGAAAATAAAGAAACGATGTTTTGAATTATTTAACAAATCGCATTTCGGGAAAATATATTTAGGTATTATTGTTAAGTTAATTTGACAAAGTATGTTACAAGGTCAAAACCAGATTTTGACATTTTCAGCTGTTTGGCAGAATTCAGCAATGGTGATATCTAGGTTTTTCATGTTTAAGCTTTCATTTTTCAATTTCCTACGAACAAGCACCCTGCTATGATCAGTAGTGTATACTAGGGGTGTAACACGAGGGCGCAAACACTATCTGTATCTGTTTAGTGCTCTGAATATTATTATCTCTATTTGCATTCGGATTTAAACATGAAGTGGGTGCGGCCTAAACAGTGTGAATTCTGGTTCTGACAGTTCTTCAACCTCATATCATTTGAGAGATGTGCAGGGGACTGATTCTTAATCCCTTTCACACAATTAATATTTTTGTTTGGACCTGCCGGCAATATTGTCTAATGAATTTAGTTGGTTCTATTTCTCAAAATATAAACAAACCAGCCTAATACTAAGGATTAGTAATTACTAAGGACTGGCACTCGTGCGGCAGGAAATGAAAAATCTCGTTTGTGCTACTTTTTGTTGAGGGGGGATGGGGTGGGGAGGGGGTGTATGGTTGTCCTAATACACACCTTTAGTCTCAACCAAATTCTTGATTCTGGTAATCGAAAAATAAATACATTCACTAGTTAAATAGTGCATATCTGTATTAATATCTCTTTAGAATACATCATCTGATCAATCTGAATAATCCATTCATATTCGGTTACATCCTTAATGTATAATTTTTGCAGGAGGCATGTATGGAGCAGTTTGTTTGAGGTTAATGAGGAATAAGGAAGCTCCAATGCCACATTTCTTTCACATTATTAAGCTTGCCTGAGCAGGACAGGAAGATGAATGTGTGTGATGGCACTACATCAAGCCGACAGCTGAGAGATTCATACTTCACCTAGCAGGTAAATGAAGTGCATTTCACTTCTCTGGCTATGAAGGGACCGTAGGATTAAGCTGAAACGTAATGAAATGTGGATGAAAAGTCATTTCCTGCCTGAATGTAAATTGACACAGCACTTTTAACCCTTCGGAAGACTTCTATAGCATTACTTTAAACTTAAATGTATGTTTGGCTTAATGAGTGTGCACATAGGGCTTTAAGATAAAGTTGAAAAAAATTTTTTTATCTTTGTAGCATGTTAAAGGAAAAGTCATTAAAATCAGTGATGCATGACAGTAAAAATAACGTACTGCAATTTCACACCTAACTGCATGCAATTATCTTATAGTTGTAATTGGTTTTAAACCACAACAGCCTGTGAGGACTGATCAGGAAACTGTTTCGCGAGCACTTCTGTTCCAGAAAATTAACCTTTGGTGGCTTTTTTGTTTTGGCTGATAAGACAGTCAAGTGATAGACCTCACACACCCAATAGATGTTGTTGACAATTTGCCCAGACTAAAGGAATCCTCCATCCTTAAATGTGTGTTTAGTGAAATATTTGTGATGTGTTTAGTGATACATGATTTTTGATAATAGTTGTGATTCTGGTCCTAATTCACCGCTTAGTGCTGTATTTTTATTATTCCTGTGACAAGTTAGTGGTTGTGTGTTTCTCTGATGTCACAGGGAGGCATTGTTATTGATAGTGCCGTTAATAAGAGAAAAAAGGGAAAAACTCTCAAACAAGAAATGCGATAACAGTCATATTTTGCTGTTAGTTCCTAAAAACAAAACAGCAAGCTGTACTTTTCTGACTCACCATTTTCCAGCGACATTCATCATCAATATATTTCTGAGAAATCCAGCAGAGAAGTAGTGGAGATGGAGTGGAGTGCTGATGAACACACTGGAATCGAAGTTCCAGCTATCTGATGTTACAGCAGATACTCAGCTCAGCTAGTTAGAATTCTACAAGATGATGGACACGATGGCATTGACAGTGCGTTAGCATGAAAGTTGAAGCTTTGGAAGCTGACCTGTTTGAGAAGACTGTACAGGTAAGGAGGTGAGAACAATAGACTGAGGGACTAAAGTGTCGCTGCCTCACTATCTTTGGATAAAGATGAAACGAGGGTGAATTCCCACTGCAACACTGTCAGGAGGTAGTCGAATGGCACTGTGGGTAATGTAGGAAGCCAACATGTCAATGAAAGGAGATTAAACTAAAAAACTCACATTTTTTATTGCAGAATAAATCTTGGAAGCCATGGAAGATCATATGTTAATTATACAAATTAATATGCAAGTCTTTTTTTTACTTTGAGGGAAAACTGGCATGCAAACATACAATAATTACAGAATCAATGTGGTGAGGAAACCGGAAAGTGGAATGGCTTAATGATTTGCCATCTTGTGTCCCAAATGAAATATTCATTCTCATCTGAGACTGTTGTGGCTTTGAGATGTTTAGATCAAAAGTTGTTTTATTCAAAGCATGCCTGATTTTATTTCCTTTCTGACTCCACCATACTAAAAGGCCCCGTCATCTGCTTGGACAAATTACATCTTTGTCAGCTACCTGCTTGAATTCAGGCCTGAATTCTGGTTTTATTTCAAATAAACAGTCAGTATTCTGTCTCTTTTCCTCCTTACATAAATATGCAGTTTTGTGCAGTTGATTGCTCTGGATCATCAATCTTCTGTCTGCTGTACTGGAAAAACTCACCAAGAGTCAAAAGTTCATAAATGATGTGGGAAAAAAAAACAAGAAAGAAACAGGTATCTGACCTAGTCTCTTAGAGAAAAGTGTTGGCTGTTTAGTTTAATCTTCTTTCATTGATATGCTGACTTCCTACATTACCCACAATACCATTTTTTAGACATGTTATGCTTCACACATTTGTATGTAGTGTATAGGTTTTTATTTTTCACATGCGGTGCTTACCAATAATTATTTTTAATATGATTATTTTAAACATTTATTTCTACATGTATAACATGTCAAAATGTACTTCAGCCTATTTTATTAACATGACCACATACTGTGTTATTCACTTAATCCTATGTGTAATGTGTGTGATTTTTTTTATAGAGTGGAGTAGAGTTCTGTGCTTTTGACAACAGGTTGTAAATTCAAACCCCAGGATTGTCAGTAAGATGAAGTCTTGCCATGGTACTGGATCAGAAAACGGTCTGGGTAGGCATAACTCAAGAGAAAATCAGCCATGATCCAAGACAAGACAACATAATTATACCATGAAGGGAAGATTAAAGAGATTCTGGGCAGACAAAGATCCTCAGACTGACTATAAATATGGTTTAAACAATGCCAGTGGAGATGTTTTGGGAGCGAACACACTGCGCTAATCTCTCCACATGGCTTAAACTTCATCTGACTACCAAATACAAGCTGCTGAACACAGCAGAAGACAAACAGAGGAAATGCCAGCTCCTTACTGCCTCAGGGCGGACTTGGCCGAGGTGACAGCCAAACAGCTACAAAGCACTGAGTAGCGCCTGAGAGGGTAGTCCCATTATTATCTATAATTTGAAATTCAGGGACCTGCAACCAATCTGTCATGATTGGAGCACACCTCCAATTGCCCACTCTTACCAGTAAAGGAGTGGGGTGGAGATAAAACTAGTCCTACACTGACAGCTGTCCCAATGAAACCAATTATTTTCTCTAAGCACAGCAGCGTTAATGTGTCACCTTTAATCTAAAGCAGGATCTAAGCACACATTATGGGTGAAGTGTTCTTTCTATTCTCCATGTTTCTGCCCTATTCATTGAAGCTGACCACAGCGATAAAGTGTTTATGAGCGGGCCAATGAACTGAACAGGCTAAACAAGCTTGCTAATGTTTGAAAAGTCCAGAGTGAAGCGCTTTCCTGGAGTTGCCTTTGTGCCTAAACATGGATGCAACCGGCTCGTTCCTGTTTATAGTAACAATTTACACAGTCTCCAGGTAAACAGATTAAAAATGCAATATTATTTAACAAAAAAAAGGATAATCATCGATATGGTGATGTTTTCTGTAAGGAGGCATTAATTTAACATTTACAGAAAGAGTCTCCAGTGTCATCAAGGGATTAAAAAAAGAGAGGCTTGTGATGGAATAATGTAAACGATAACAGGATGTACTTGTTTAGTGGACATTTTCCAACATTAAATGGAGCTATAAATGAATAAAATGTATGACAATGTTAATTAATAAATTAAAAATTAGAATTGCTGGCAAATTGCTGGGGTGTAAGGCGAATAAATCGCTTCGCTGCTATTGGAAAATTATCAACTTCGGGGTAGTAACATTAACTCTGCCTTATCACACCACTCTGTCATTAATTATATTCCTATAACAGAATGTCACAGTGTGTTGTATCCTTTATGTAAGTTATTGGTTTTATGGAAGGTGTTTGTATTACATACACAGAAGCAGGAAGGAGAAGGAAGGAAAGACTTCCAACAGCTTGAATCCTGCCATGCGCATTTTATACAGCATCTCCATTTCTCTCTCTCTCTCTCTCTCTCTCTTTCAGTGATACCAGGAATTTGAATCATTTGATCTAACTGTCCAGTCAGAATACAGAAACTAATACAAAGACAAACAAAGTAGAGCTTTGCTTAAATTGTTGAAACTATTGTGCTACAGTAAAATATTTTAACCTGGAAAATAATGAAATGAACAGTTGCACCAGTTGTATATTGTAAAACAAATAGCATCTGTCTAGTAACCGACAGCTTCTGGGTTTAAATCTCAGTAGTGCCTTTAGAGGCGGTTATGACTCACTGGTTAAGGCTCTGGACTCCTGCTCGAAAAGTTGAGAGTTCAAATCTCAGAACCGCCAAGCTGCCACTGTTGGGCCTTTGAGCAACAACTTTAAAACTCTTTGTTCTGGAGGCACTGTACTGTGGCTGACCCTACATGCTGAACCCACTTTAAGACAATTGTTAACAAGAAATAATCTGATCTGAGAAACTAAACTTAGATTTTTTTTTTTTTTTTTGAAAGATACAAGGGTTATCCCTGCTTGCACATTTATACGAGCTGACCCTAGATACTGGACAATCAAGATAGAAAAAAATCAAGACAGAGGCAGAGCTACAGTGTTATATAGATACTTTACAAACCCTATAAACACACATTACACTTACTTAACCACAGATCTGTCAGCATTAAGGAAGAGAACAAAAACATTTCCATTTTTTTTTTCCATGTGCTGTATTTCCAAACAGATTTTCCTTCCAGAAGCTTTTCACTGTATTTGGCATGTACAGATTTTTGGTTTCAGGGATCACCACTGGCCTAAACAAACCACTTCTTCAGCAAAACAACAAAACCAAACAGAATGATGTGTAAGTGGCAGTTTGATGTGTTGTTGATTATCACTTAATTATTATATCAAAGGCAGGTGAACAATAGATTTGAACAAAACATTTGGCTTGCATCTAGATGGCACATTAACTTTCACAAAGTGTTCATTTTCTCTTGAAAAGTATACCTCCACTGGGTGTATTGAAATACAATCTCTATTTCATCCAGTTTTCTAAACTTGTTGGAACATCAGGACCTTCATTTGTCAACACTTTATAGAAAAGGATCTAAATAGTTTCTTATACATAAAGATTTTGAAGTCCTTTAGGCACAAATTGGGATTCGCCAAATGTGTGTACACTTTTCATACATAAAATTGCTAGCAGAGAAGCTCAATAAATACCCTGTAACAAACAAAATGGTGGGCAAGCAGGAAGCAGGAACCACCTGAACACAAACTTAAAGTTGAATCATAAAAAGAACTCAAAGAGAACATAAAACACAAACATAAGGCAAATATAAAACAGACACTGGCATCTCCACCTGCTCCTCATCTCGTTCTCCTGCTGATTAGACCACATCCTCACAGCCTGGCCACTCCCTCCTCCTCGTCACATACTCAAACCCTAACCCTAGCCTCAATATTCAAGGAGATCGCTTCTATCAAATAAGCAGTACAATACTTGGAGGTGTGTTGTGATTAGAAAATAATCAATGACAGGGTGGTGAAGTTGATTATTTTTCTATAATAGCACATATTAAGTGTTTTGTTTCTCACAGCAATTTGCCAACAATTACAACAAAATGAAACATTTTTTAGCCACTTAGTTACATTTAATGCTATGAAATGTCTGCAAAATGTTAGTTCCTGTTCTCTAGCAGCGATAAACAGCTGTTCTTTCACTTTCTCTTGATGTTAATGTGACAAAAAAAGGCAGTTGTTACAGAGAAACTCTGTTACAAATCGCTGAAACTGGAGACTCCTGTCACCTTATCAATGATCACACATTTCTTTGTTAAATAACACACTGTTGTTGTTTTTTTTCATCCATATATTATTAGATTTAGATTTTGTGGAGCATCCACCATAAAAGTTACATAGCTGCTACTATAGAAATGATAACGTATTTGTCAGGAATGATGCATGTGTTGAATGCAGACACAAGTTTATTAAAAATGATCACCAAACAATCTAAAGGGCAAATACGATGGTGTAATTATTAAAAAAAAAAAAAAAAAAAGAGAGAGCGTGTGCTTGGAAACATGTGTTGACTTACTAATCGGCTGTCTGTGATCTGGTGTATGAATCATGTGACTGGTGGAGTTTTGTAGTTCATTAGGCTGCTGGGAAATGAAGTTCGATGGCTGTGATGTGGAATTCTGGGAACCTGAGTTTGTGACGGAAACTGGTGCAGATGTGACAGTATTAGAAAAAGATGCATTAGTATAAACCTGTGATTTGCCTCACAGTTGGAATATATAAAATTAATCAAGACCTCCTGACCAATCAGAATCAAGAATTCATTACCACTGTGGTTTGAACCACTTGATTGCCTTATTAATTTTGACTTTAAAAAAAAAATCTGTCATGGTGACACATCATCACTTTTCATTATCTGACAAATGATTCTATTTCTAGCACAGGCACGTCAGCACACAGCGACATCAATTTAGACGTAATACCACTTAACTGTCTATACAGTAGTGTTTAATATCTACTCAACTCCTAGTGACTAATTGTCTTTGTGTGAGAATCATAAATCAGGGGCAGTGTAAGAAGGTAAACTCATGAGCTCATCCAGCACTTCCTGCTCTATTCATTTCCTCCGTTATTAATAATCATCACAAGCGCCATTGATCACGCGGCAGGGAGCTGCGAGTGGGTGGAGGTGTGAGAAGGAGAAGGAAGACTGTTATATGACACAATCCACACACCGGCAATACTCGACAGCTTTGCTATTGCTGGGAAGCTGACGCAAGTCTTCAACAGTCCAAAAGTAAACACGGCTTGCTGGATAGGTGACGCAGAGGAAACACGGGCATTGATCTGATGCTAGAACAGAAGACAAGACAGCAGAGAGCAAACACAGAAGGACCATTAATGGTTGCACTCATTCTCTCGCAATTAACCCCGATCATTATAACACATCTGATGCACATGAAGCTGTCTTTCTCTTCTACACAGGTGAGAGGTTTCTCAGTTTCTCAGACAGTATGGCCATCTGTTGAGAACTCTCCGTGCTCCAACACGGCATACAGAGCAAAGAGAGAGAGAGGAAAACAGGGCCGACATCCGAGAGAGAGAGAGAGAGGGACAGAGAGAGAGAGCGAGCGAGGGAGAGAGAGACTTCTTAGACACCACTATAAATCTTGATACTTTAATAACACATCTGACCTTTGCGCTGATGCTGTCACCCTCACTGCAAATTTTGTATGTCATTTATTTATTTTTTATCTGCATAAATATTAATTTAGATTTGTATTCAAAGTTTAGTTGAATACAGACCTGAACTTAAACAATATGGCCAATATGCCAATCAATCCTAGAGGGGCAGTCTTTTCTTTTCTTTTTAGAGGTTTTTTTTTCAATTAATTACCACAGGGTGAACTTTTAAAACAATACACAACAATCAATTTCTACTAGTTGAATGCTGATATGTTACAAGCATTTTTTCCAAACATTTACATTTATTTATACAAATGAGGCTTCATCGAACGAAATGTGCATACTTAATAAAACAAAAATATAGTCTTTGGATGTTGTTAGAATTAAAATATTTATTTCGTAGGTGATGACACTCTTAAGAGAAAGCCTTTTAGAGAACAGGTTGTTGTTTAATCAAAAAAATATGCTGCACCGTTCTAAACAAATTCCATCTGTAGTATAAAATCTAAAATATAAATCAGACAGTAATCAATATTTTGAGAAATTATTTTGTAATATCATCCTAATTAGAATATTTCTTCCTCTTTAATTAGGGGAAGGAAATAACATGTACAATTTCATGAATGCAGTTCATCTAGAGATTTTTGGTTTTGAATATAGAAAAAAATGTTTTTAAGGGAAAACAAACAAGGCAAGTTAAGAATCGGGAGCCCTGTGAGGTGTACTTATTGATCATGTAGGGTACGTTTGAAGATCGGTTAGCTAGAAGACACAGAGAGTGGTCTGATGTGGGGGGAAAGAGAAAGATGAGACAGAGGCAGATGGAGATGCAGAAGAGGATGAACAAACAGACACAGCATGTCAGAGTCACACAGGTCTGAAACCAAGCCCTCCAGCGAAGAGATTGATGCAATCAGGAGGTGTCGTTATTGATGGATGATGTCATTACACAGCAGGTACACTAAAGTGCTGTCATTATCACATCAAGCTGTCATCGTAGAGGCCCGAATTGAAGTAAAACAAGATTAACGATAGGTGAATCTTTACTTACTTTAAAACCTTCTGAAATTATAATTCAGTTGAGATACAGGAGCAACATTTAAAATAACATTACCAAAAAGTCAAAATAAAGACCTACACTGCCAGTAAAATCATTTTTTATTTGATTGCAGTTTACCCACTACTGCAATTAAATAATTAAAAAAAGAAACAAATGTGCCATCAAATACTGTATTTAAACATTTGTATTTAAGGACATAAGGACAAGGTCCACTGTCAAGGTCCACACAGGCCAAGATGGTCACATGTACAAATCAAGCACACGTGTCTGTAAAACGCTGTGTTTGTTTTATACTTTGTGTCTATCTTTTTCAGTCACACATGTGATCAGCACAAACTCCATGGAGCCATGACAAACTGAACACACTCAAAATGCGAGAAGGAAGATTGCAGTCATCAGCTTCTAGTTTACATTACCTATGAAATATATATATATTTTTAATCTACTGATCTTGAGGAATACGGTATATTGACCAATACTACATGTACACCCCAAAGAATACCACAAAGAATAAAACCCAACACCCATTTCCAAGCACCCACGTCCAGATAGCTTACCCAGAGACTCAGAGGATCGTCCAACATCCCCACGCTGCGCACAAGCCAGTGACATTCTACACTCCATTAATAATAAACTATCAGGACTAGATGCAAGATTCTCTCTTGTAGAGGCTTTGCACAGAGAATTCCAGGCAATGTGTGAAAGATTGCAGTTCAGTCAGGAGAAAGCTGCAATGCTAACAAAAGAAAACAAAGCACTACACCTTTTTGTTAGCAAACTCATGACACAGCTTTCATCAGTCATAAAAGAAAACAAGCGAATGAAAGAAACAGCATGAGGTACAATGTCATTTTTTACAGCATTTCAAAACACACATCGGAAGACCGTGCGAACAAGATGAAGGGCTTTATGATCAACAAACTAACAATTCCAGCTGCAACAACAATAAACATAAAGTTCCACCGAGTCCACCGCCTAGGAGGAAAATAAACTCAAAACAAAGGACCACGACCCATGGTCGTAAAAGTCGAATATTGCAAACACAAGGAAAGTTTTGCACCCCTGACCATCACACCCATATGTACTT